AATCAAAAAAACTATTTGAGTAAAAAACATTCAGCCTTTGAAATAACAAATATAATGTTTTAGAAAGACTATTAGGAGTTTTTATTCTTTTGCATTTTGGAAAACTAAACTTTTAGTAATTTATTTATATCGTCTTTATTTTGTTTTCATAAACGGAGAGGAAGTTTAACTAACAGTGACAGTATTGCTAAATCAAACTATTTACTTTATTTTTCTTGGTACTGACAACATATGGAAAATATCAAAAACAAGAAACAACATTACTAGCATATTGAAATAACCAATATTCCATTTTGTTTTTTTTATTCCCATAGTTTTTGAAATGTCTAAACGTAGCTTTAGTTTTTAGAAAAAAATGATAAGATATAGCGACAGCCACATCTAGACAAAGGTTATCCCCTTAAAAGTCAACGATATCCGCTGTATATTTATCTCCAATTTTAAAATATTAAGTACTGAAAACATTCCCTTACTTCTCCTTCAATTTCTCCTGTTTTGAAAATTCCCATTTTTCCTGACTGCCCCGGTCGGTCGCCATCCTGTTAGTTTGATTAGAGCAAGGGAAAGAAACACAATACAACTTCATCTTCTCCAAACGAAAAGAACAAGAGATGTCCGCCATCAACACGCTGAGGCACGCATGTCCTTAATTTGATTAAGTCCACAACGAACTCAAATTACTACTTGGTGGTAGCAAAGAAACCAAACTCTGGGACTCCGTTTAATGCTTCTACCATTTTACGTTATTTTTTAAATTCTCTATCGAGGAACCCAACTTTATCAGTCCTAAAACCAAATATCTATCTATTTTTCCTTGGTATATTTTTATTTTATAATTTTAAAAATTTGGATTAGACTAAATGTGGAAATGAATAATTGAAGTTTTCCTGACCGAAACCACAGTAATGATAAAATTTATGACGTATATAATATAATTATTTTTTAATATGTATTGAGGACTTTTATTTTTTATTTTTGGAAAAAATGGCTACAAATTAGTTGCTTGTTTTAATGTTAAGACGCCAAACTTCTTAGTCATTAGCACTCGATAAACAAAATAGTACAATTTTAAAATTATGTTTGTGGTATATAAGTGGTTAAAAAAAAATATATACATATATAAAAAGGTACGTATTAAAAAATAATAAAGGATCGGCAGAGAATCATTAATGTAAACTTGAAGATTTTGTTTGTGTCGAAAATTGATAACTTGCTCCTAGATTCCCAGGGATACGGGAAAACTGAAGGGGGTTCCTGACATATTCAGGGATATCCCAAATTCCACATCGTGATGTAAAACACGTTAAGTTAGTAATTAATTAATGACAATTTATTTATAGTTTAAAAAAAATGGACGATTATGGGCGCTTTGCAGCGAAGTGACCTATGTCTAATAAATCTCATACTTGACTACTTAGAACTATTGGGTTATAAAACGTAATTAAGGTTGATTGGATAATCGCGGGAAGGAGGAGACAGATTTTGTTGCTTCTTTTTTCGTTTCTTATCGTCTTTATTTCCGGTGCCATTGAACCTAACTGCGCGCTACCTGCGAACAAGAGAAAAACATGTTGTTTTTTTTAAAATAGATTTTAACGCAAAAACGGCTTTGATTATTTTGATGAAAATTCCCTATAATTTTCTACATAAAGTCCTTTCAATTTTTATAATAGTGAATAAAATTTATATAGAATCTTTTAAAAGTTAATTCAATTACCTATAAAATAAAGATAAACAATTTGTTATCGAACACGTATCAGCGATGAATACAGGAAGTTTTATAGTATCTTGATACTATGTGAAAAAATAATGACATACTCCTAACTAGGGGAAAATTATTTGATTACTCATGGTTTTAGCTGATTTAATCAACGTTTCGAGACTGACTCGTCTTCAGGAATTTTTTTTTTTTCTTGAATATTGTTCTATATGTCATCCATTTTTTGTTTTCCCATTTTTCTTATAAATTTTTACTTCTGTTCTATTTAATTAAAGGATAACAATTTTACAACAATTTGAACACAAGTTTAGAATGTCCCTAAATAAAACGGATTAGAAAAATGTAGAATCCCGGAACGTTAAGTAAGCGAAACATCACATGCCTTCAAGAAACTATTTGAAATTAAATTATTGAAAGAAGTTAGTCGACTGTTCTACATATCATGGGTGATAAATATTCAGGACGCAGTCATTATAGAGTTTGTATTAGTGCCGACGTTTCAGTACTTTGATACCTTCAGTGCTCGAAACACGTCCTGATGATGACCCACATGTTTGGGTTGAAACGTCGGTTCCAATGAAAAAATTATAATGACTGCGTCCGCAATATTGATCACTCATTTAAAGCTAAAGATTTAAGATCCTTTTCCTCATCATCTATGAAATACTGTAATCAAATATTTCAATTTAAAATTAAGGTAAAGTTCCAGTAATTGACACTTTAAAAGAACTTTTCAACATTAATGCGAATCACAACTTTAGTTCTGACGGTGGAGCTGCGAATGGTTTTAGTTGACAGCAAATTCAGTCTTTTGCTAATTTGGAATTTCCTATTCAGCTAGTTAATTTATTATTCATGAATAATTTAGAAAAATCTGAGAGCGTATTTTGCACCGGTAATAGACACTCTGATGTTTGGGCCAACGGGTTACTTTTTCATAATTAAAAAATAAGTAAATCAATTCTACACAGTTTTAAATAAGAAAATGGCAAACTATAGATGAATAAATCAACTTCAAAAATGAACCAATTGGTTATCGTGGCATGATATCATCTCACGTTCAACCAATCACGTTCCTCGGTGTTGTTTACAGCTGCAGATATACTAATATTTGCACTTTCTTTTGGCCGTACAAAGCACGTTACCTGCTAATGAGTTCAAAACTGTATATTACTGGTACAATTACCATAAATATTTAGTTTTCAAAATGTAAGTTAGACAAGGTGATGTTTTGATATATCTGTTGTTTAAAAATTGTTACTTTCTAAAACGTCAGCTCATTTTGTTGGTAAAAATTGTCCTACTTATTATATCTTTATTCGTAATACAATTGTGATATATTACATTGCCAGAGGAGAGGGCAAGGGTTCCTCTGCCCTAATATACTGATATTAATTATTTATATACTTACCTTCGATGGAGAAGTGGATGTAGCTTATTGGGTAAGCCGATAGACCGTTAACTGCTGTGTTCGGATTGGAGTCGGACTGAGGCGGATTCCTTCCTTACTTATTCTGCCGTATCAGCGGTGGATCGATCGCGGGGTTCCGACTCCTAAATTGGGATGGGGAATACACTTGACGGCTGTAGTCCCATTGCTGACCGCATCTCCTTGTAAAGCCGTTGTTCAAGAAACTATCTTGTCAAACAATAAGTATAAAACCCTGCATGTATTGTTTTATTAGTACTCCTTTTTTTCGTTCATACGTAATTACCTAAAACGTTTCCAAATTACTAATGTCCAATCCGACCTATTGTTAATTGTCACATATTTCCGAAAATAACCGACCGTTGGGCAATATGGTAGTTCATAGGAGGCGGTAGGAGGTAAATCAATTCTGTCGATGGAGCCCATCAGTTGATTGACTTCAGCACCGATGTAGTTCAGGAACGACCTGCTGGACTGAAGCATGTTCCAATGGCCTATAGTCAGTGGTGCAGACCCATTTTTATCAAATTTTTAACATTCGTATAAAACTTCGTGAATTGTTCATCTTATCTTTATCTACAATTGTTATCATAACTACGACTTATCTACGAAAATATTGAATACTCATTTGCTTTCCACTTGAATCGTAACATAATTCGATCACAAAATCGAGGCCTACAAAAATATTCGACAGTTTGGCCTATATTAGCTTTTTGTTTTGACAATTCATTAGGCTATCAGTTTGCTTGATTTCATAAAGTCGTTATCATTATCTTATTATTATTTACTTTATCACTTCAGCACTTTCTATGTTAATTTCATTAAATTGTTGTTTTTATTTTGTTATTGTTCACTTAATCACTCTACCTATTATTACTATTATTTCTTCTTTGTTCTCAATATTTATGTTGCTTCTCTTTGCTTAGCCATGATGGTGACCTAAACCGTTTGCCGGAACATCTATGGAAAATATGATTTATTTATTTTTACTCTCTTCTTTCATTTAGTGAGCACCTCAACCAACTTCTCTCCAAAAAAGAAATAAAAAACATGAAAGGTTTAAAAATTTCATTTGTTGAGGGGAGTCAATGTTCTATAACTTTGAGTAGTTTGAATTTGTTTCTTTTTTAATAAATCTGCACTCGGAAGGTAAAGGACATAATGTTTTGTATTTGTTCAGGGAGCCAACTTAGAGCTATTACAATTTGTTTCTTCCTTATTAATAATTTAAAGAAAAAATGGACATGGTGCCTTTTACCTCCTGGGTACAGATTTAAAAAAATATATTCATAATTATTACCAGCACCGTAGAACACCATTTAAATACTAAAACAATTATAAATAAAACAAAGCTATGTATCACTGGAATCCGATATATTTAGTTGTAGATTCACCGAGAAAAATTGGTGACCATACTGACCTGATTGAGGAGTGAAAAAGGCAGACTAAGAAGTTTAGAGACCTATGACCTGATCGATTGATTGTAGCTGCTTCCCTAAAATATTTAATCATACAATAAAACAGATTTAGTGATTATTCATTATAGACTACTTACATAGAAATCCTTTGTTGCCTTCCAATGAGGTGCTTCTGATCACAACCTTCTCTTCTGTTTTATTATTATCGTTGTATTATTTCTTGTTATTATTTGATTCATATTTAAGATTACATTATATTCGGTCGCTTTATTTCGCCGCATTGTTGTTCTCCGATCAGCTGTTCCAACATAACCTGCCTCAGCTGCGGTGCCGTAACCTCCCGTTCCCTTCAGTGTGTGTTTAGATTTCTCCCAGCGAAGGGCTGGTTCTAGTTTGTGCGACTTTGTCAGGCTTTTCATTTAATAAGTGTTCTATTTGATCTAATTTCATGTCATCTCGTTTTTTTCTGTTCTAATGATGATTGGATTTCTCAAATAGTTGGCTGGTGAGTAGTTGAGTGGTATTTTTGAGATTTCGTCTTTTGTGCTTCGAATCTTTCTTTTATTTTTTGGTGTGTTAAGCTATATTTATAAATATATGAAGGAATGCTTATATATAAAAAATATATACACTCACATACATACAAAACATTAAACATTTTCATTATTGTAAATGTACTTACTATCTACTTGAAATGAATTTTAAAAAAAGATCCTTATTACATGTAAAAGATAAATAAATAGATTTGTTATAAGACAGCGTAAAATAGATTTTGAAGACTGTATACACATTTAATAAATTAACTGAAAATAAATTAGTAACTTTATTATTGGAAAACTGGAAGTTTTCGGATAAGTATATTTTATTAATTTTTTTTTCTACATTTGGTAGAGCCAAAATATTGTCTTTATGTCAATAGAATGATGATTAAATATTATATTCATTGTATTTTGATTTTTTAAAAGAAAACATTCTATTTTCTGTTTTTTATTTTACTTATATTTTCTTTAAACGATAATTGAACCAAGAAATAGTTCTTTTTAGATGAAAATATTGAAAACTTATCGAACATATTTTATTTTTTGAATTAGTTTCCTTCTATTAAATGTCTTTAATTTATATTTAACATATTTGTTTTATGTATGATAAAGGACACATTATAAATAATTGAAAAGTTTTAAGTAAAAATAGTTGTTTTAAGTTGAGTGAATCTTAAGAATACTTTCTCAATTATTAATAAAAAAATTTAAGACAATTAATAAAAATTGTGACAATTTTTTTGTTGTTGCTTTGTGCATCGGCATATTAGCTAATACACCAATCCATATTCCATACTAATCAATTATATGCTTATCAGTTAATGTTATTCACAGTAATAAGATTATATAAGGCGTAAATGATTTAAGTTTGTGTTAATTTTTCTAAAATCGTTAGGTTTCTAATGGTATATTATACATCTTTATTACACATCTATATTACTAATGTTCTTTCAATCTTCAAATATATTTTTCTCTTTTTTTCCTTAAGATTGTCAAATTCTTTCCTAATGCATATTTACTATCTTGATGCTATTCTACATTTTTATACAACCCAAATATTGGCATTATATCAACAGAAAGATCATAAACTGTGATTTGATTCTTTATTTAATAATGATATATATATATATACTTTTTTTTTTTTTTTTTTTCCTGTTGGTCTCTTCACCTCTGCCTATCTTGGGCTACTGCTTTCCAGTTTGCTGCATGAAGATGAAGCTCAGCCGTATCTTTGTTTATCCATCTGGTTTTTGTTCTCCCACCTGGTCTCTTGCTTACTACTCTGGCATTCATTGTCGTGTAGAGGCGTTCTGATGGATTACTACGAGCTACATGCCCGGCCCATCTTAACCTCCTTGCCTTCATGTCATGAGATATTGACTGACCTGTTTCTTTCAACAGTTCTTTATTGATCCTTCTCCTCCATGTGTCAAGGTTCTGGTCCCATGTAGGCTATATATATATATATAAAGTATGTTTGCTATACATATTTTTCAATTTGAGCTATGAGATTGTTGTTTTCTAATAAAAATATTGGAACTAATCAGATTATAAGTTATCTGAAAGCCATTTTAGCTTATTTTTTATATTGGTTCCTTTCTACTAAATGCCGTTCATTTAGGGTTTTTTTCTATATTTGTTTATGTTTGATAAAGCTCATATTATTATGTTTGATAAAGCTCATATTATAAATTTAGCACTTTTAGAAGAATTTATTTTTAAAAAGTTAATAAATCTTGAAAAATACGAATTTTTTACTTCTATATAAAAACTTAAGACAATAAATAAAAGTTACGACAAATTTTTGTCGGTTACATCGTTGGTTGGTGAAACAGAAAATAAATATTTAAGTTTTCCTTTTATTTTCCATGGGACCATTATAATTAAACAATGCATTATTAATTAAAACTACTTTAACTCATAATTTTTTTTTTAGTCTCTCACCAAAGCTTTCTACAACTTTTTATTGGTACATTATATTACCTTTACATACATACATACATACATTATATTAAAAATAAAAGTTTCAAGTACTAAGAAACATTTTTTATAATAAAGTTTTAGGGTAATTATAGGTTTAACTTTTATTTATTTAATTTAATAAACGAAAGTTGCGTTAAATTAGAAATACACAATAATTAGGCTTATAGTCATAATTTACTTGATTCTGATATGTCATTTGTTTGAGTTGCTATGAATAAAAGTAATTTTTTAGATCAACCTTTTAACGAAATCAACAGAACGTTTAAATAAATGTTTCCTAAAGTTAAAAGTGTAAAATCTTCATTAAAAAAATTGCAAGGGTGAAGGTTCAATTTCAGAAATAAGATAAACAATTATAATAAAGATGATAGTCCTACCTGAAATGTTTAAAATAAAATAAAAAAAAATTTTTCAAGGCCTACTTAAAACATGTATTTCCATTGAAAACTGATTAGTAATTTTTCACGATCGCATTCTTTCAGTTAATATTATTCCATGTATAGGTAAGCGAAAGTAAAAATCCATTGCAAAATAATAACTAATAATTAGTTTTACTAAATAATAAATTTATCAAACAATGAAGATAATTATTTTTGGAGGGTACGTATTGATAAATTTATTGTTTAGTAAAACTGCTGTTTCGGCCTAAAGGCGACTCTCACATTTTTTTTATTTAAGAGGTGTTATTACAGTAATTGTCGGAAAATAACAGTTTTTTATTGGATAACGTCCGTAATTATTTAATTACCCTTAATCTGTAGGGCCAGAAGTTAGGACTCGGGACTAGCTTAGAGTCCACTCAAATAATTTAGATCCTTCTTCGTTAAATTTTAAAACGCTGCCGCTTCGGGAATATAGAAATATATCGGGTCAGTTTTCGCGAAGGCGTCGTGACCAATTTAACTCGGCGGTTAAATTTAAATTTGCAGGCACCTGCCTCCCGACCTGAGACCACCACACCACCTCCCTCTCTCCGTCCACAGCCGGGCCGTTTTCAACTACGATTCTTTAATTCGCTTCTAAAGCAACTTATGTTTAGTTAGTTAATATATGGAGAGTCAGATAAATTAAAATAAAAAAATATGCCGTTTAATTCGACACACAACTAATGATTAGGTCAGTGAACAAATGACCAAATTATATAGAAATAAGTTAATTACTTATACTGCCTCTATTTCGATGACTTTCCTTTGTAGAGAATTCAGTAGCCTTTCATAAACACACACTCATGTTATGTACTTAGCTTAAGTAAAATTTATTCAGTTTCTATTTATTAATTCTGAAATTCACCGTTATATTTTGTAACTAAATGCTTTATCCACATGCTAGAATGAAAAAAAAAAACACTAACAAAACAATAAATTAGACTTTGAATTGAACAACAGTATTTAGTGTATATTGTAGGTGTAGATATCAAACTGCTGTTAGCAAATGAATCAACAAATCGTTTAGAAATTTAACACACACGTTCTTCTATTAATTTTATTCATTGATAAATGCGTATTTGAATCCCCATTGATGATAAAAAATAATTGGAGTGTTTTGGTTTTCCACCCGGTGGGGTTTGTCATCTTGCCAAGTAGTTTATCATCGTTCAGCTTCCTCTGAGTGTGCGCGATTTATCAGGACGGGCTTTCCTATGAGTTCTGTTGTTAGCCACATTTTCGACAACGATGTCTCCTTTATTAATATGAAATTAATTACGAAATGTTCTCATGGATTCCTCTTAAAATAAATAAGCTCTTGTGTACGTTACTTTTATCAATTTCCAAATTTAAATTATTATTTTTTAATCCCAATTAATTCCGTATAAATTGTTTTCTTTATTAATAAATAGTAACTCCTCTAAATTGTATTCTACGGGTACCTTTAATTATGTTTCATCTATCTTTCTTTTTTTCTTCCGAAGTAATTATCAATATATACATATACATATATATATATATATATATATATATATATATATATATATATATATATATATATATATATATATATTTGTATGTATTACAATGTTTTTTTTTTAATTCGACCTTTATATATTATAACTTAAATATTTTCATGATGAAATTTCATGACCTATTATCCTACTATAATTCATATCTTAAGTTTTATATATATGTATATAAAGCTGTTATGCTTAAGCCCCAAAAGTAAATTTTGAAACCGCTACTGTGTCTCTGAGAAGTATTGTTATAATATTTTATAGATTGCGCTTCATACGAAATTCTTATTTAAATTGAAATGACTTCATAAATTCCCTTGCGGAAGATTTCATGCCCTTAAACATTTGGACAAAAAACACACCTGGAACATACACAACGAATTAAAACCACGAATTGACCAGACGATATTAACAACTGTCATATCTTTTGTCTCTCCACTCATCTTACAAAACAAACAAGCCATTAATCTACACCAATATTTAAATATGTTTGGAGATGCGGAGCAAAACTTATGCGTTCCTCAAAACACGTCCACATAAACAAAATTCAAACTGCACAGTCCAAAATACTTCGAAAAATCGTAAATGCATCTGGATTTTTTGAAATCACACCACACACGACATGAACATACCAACAGTAAAATCCTTCATACATAACAAATACACAACGTGCCACTTCAACTTTCAAAATCCACTTGCTGTGTTTCTCCCTTTCTTTCTCGCTGTTACCTGGTCAGCCTCAAAGAAGACTACAAAGGCAATGGCCTAGAGATCTACTCACGGTATAAATAATTTTCAATAAATAGACCAAACGAAGACAGCACATTTGCTACATTGTGATGCAAATATAATGTCAAATAAAATGAAAATCATTTACAATAATCAAAATAACATATCAGTATTTTTTTACATAGGCGTCTTCCCTGACATTGTTACTTATTTTAATTATAATACTTATTAAATTTAGTCGCTGGTCACCATTCGGTTGCTCAGTAGCCACTGCCCTGACAGGAGAGGTTGGATTTGGATCTGATGAGG